AAGGTGTTGTTATTTCTTACGCCGGAGGAGGAAGCTTTGGCGGATTCCTTATCTAGTAAGGAATTGAGGATTTTGCTGGAGAGTGAAGCTAACACGTTTACTTTATTTGCATCATTATCGGTTGACAGCAAAGCGTCATTGGAAGAGTTGGAGGTGGTGAATGAGTTTCCGGAAGTGTTCCCTGATGATATTACAGAGTTACCCCCGAAGAGAGAAGTTGAGTTTAGCACTGATCTTGTACCTGGTACGAGGCCTATATCTATGGCGCTGTACAGGATGTCAGCAGTGGAGTTGGCTGAATTGAAGTCTCAGATTGGAGATTTGTTGGATAGGAAGTTTATTAGACCGAGTGTGTCGCTGTGGGGAGCTCCAGTGTTGTTGTTGAAGAAGAAGGATGGTAGTATGCGGTTGTGCATCAATTACCGTCAGTTGAACAAAGTGACCATCAAGAATAAATATCCTCTTCCAAGGATTGATGATTTGATGGATCAGTTGGTGGGAGCTCGTGTGTTTAGTAAGATTGATTTGAGGTCGGGTTACCATCAGATTAGAGTGAAGGAATGTGATATTCAGAAGACGGCGTTTAGAACTCGATACGGACATTACGAGTATGCGGTAATGCCTTTCGGAGTGTCGAATGCGCCAGGAGTGTTCATGGAGTATATGAACCGGATCTTCCATTCTTACTTGGATCAGTTTGTTGTTGTATTCATTGATGATATCCTGATTTATTCGAAGTCTGAGGAAGAGCATACAGGACATTTGAGGATTGCTTTGCAAGTGTTGAAGGATAATAAGCTGTTTGCGAAATTGTCGAAGTGTGAGTTCTGGTTGAAGACGGTGAGTTTCTTGGGGCATGTGATTTCTAGTGATGGTATATCGGTAGATCCGTCAAAGGTGAATGCAGTGTTGCAATGGGAACCGCCAAAGACAGCGACGGAGGTTAGAAGCTTTTGGGTTTGGCAGGGTACTATCGAAGGTTCATTTAAGGGTTTTCTACTTTGGTGTTACCATTGACTCAGTTGACGAGGAAGAATCAAGTTTTTGTGTGGGATGCCGCTTTTGAAGAGAGTTTTGTGGAATTGAAGAAGAGAT